TTGCTCCTTGAAGTTGATCTATCAGCTCATCAGTGGTTAGTTCTTCATTGTCCTCCTCCACCAAAACTCTTCCACATCTCCCCACTAACCTCCAACCCCAAGGACTTTCCAATGCCACAATGGATTCCTCAACTGGCACAGGATTCTCAGGGTTACCCTCAAACCCTTCAAAATCCCTTTTGTCTACACATTCGGCCAAACAGTTTCTTCCAAGCAGAGTTCAAGGTCCTCTTTAGTCACTTCCCCCCAAGCCTTACCTTAAGGTTACACAATTGAGGATATTAAAGTGATCTCTCCAAAACTCTCTTAAGTCAGTTGAGTTTCTGAGGTCTTACAAAGCACCTTTCAAACAGAGCTTTTGTGTACAGTTTCTTGAAGTTGGAAATAACCTGCTGGTCCAGGGGCTGCGGGAGAGGAGTGGTATTAGGGGGCAAAAACTTCACCTTAATGAAGCTCATGTCCCCATAAAGTCGCTCTGCCACGTCTGTAGGATGACCGGGGCATTGTCTAACACCAGGAGGCACTTAAGTTCTAATTTTTTTTCATTTTAGGTAATTTTTCACATTGGGGGCAAATGCAGGTGTAACCAGTTATAGAAAATTCCCTAGTGACCCATGCCTTACTTTTTGCCCTCCACAGCACACACAAATTATCCTTGAGGACATTCTTTTGCCTGAACGCCTGGGAGTTTCAGAGTGATACACTAATAAAGGCTTCACTTTGCAATCACCAGTAGCATTGGCACACATCAACAAAGTAAGCCTGTCTTTCATAGGCTTATGTCTGGGAGTGCCTTTTCCTCCTGAGTAATGTGGGTCCTGCTTGGCATTTTCTTCCAGAACAGGCCTTTTTCATCACAATTAAACACTTGTTCAGGTTTCAGTCCTTCAGTTTCTATGACTCCTTGAATTCCTGCACATATTTTTCAGCCGCTTTGTGGTCGAACTGGCAGCCTCACCATGCCTTATCACACTATGATGCCACTACGCTTCTTAAATCTCTCAAACCAACCTTTTCTGGCCTTAAATTCACTCAATCATCACTAGTTGCAGGCTTTTTTTAATTAAATCCTCATGCAACTTCCTAGCCTTTTCACATAAAGATCGCTTGAGAGGGTCTATCTCCTGCATCTGTTTTTCATTTATCCACACCAATAAGAGTCTCTCACATTTCCATCACTTGCGATCTTTGTTTCGAAAACACAGTTGAAACCCTTTTGGGAAGAAAAGCTTCCTTGATTGTCTTTCTGGTGCCCACAATAAAATAGCGATGGTTGATTGGGGTTTCTTGTACAGCTTTACTAGGTCGGCTATTACGCACTCCCTTTCATACCTTATCAATTATCTCTTTCTTCATCTCTATAGTAATTCTTACCCTTTGAGGTGTAGGGTTTGGCACTAGAAGCTTTCTTGGGCCCATGGTCACTTATTTTCCAGAAACAGCACCGAAAATACTGTAATAATACGAAATATTCCGAGTGTATGCTTGGATGTTACCGCGGAGGCTGGCTGGTAAACAATGGGACGGGGCGGCACATGTGAGGCTGGCTGAGGGCACATTGGACGCGTCTCGGACGAAAATCAGTAAGCGGGTTTTTAATCGGTATGCGCGGCAAAAATTTTGCGATAAAAGTAATCGTTATGCGGAAAAATCGCTATGTGATGCCATCGTTATGCGGGGGTCCACTGTATATGGAATAGGAAGTAAGTTACTAAATGCTGTAAAGAGTTTCATGAGGATAGTGAGGCTCAGGTTAGGGTGTGTAGAAGAGAGGGAGACTACTTCCCAGTAAAAGTAGGTCTTAGACAGGGATGTGTAATGTCACCATTGTTGTTTAATATATTTCTAGATGGGGTTGTAAAAGAAGTAAATGCTAGGGTGTTGAGGAGAGGCGTGGGATTAAATTATGGGGAATCAAATACAAAATGGGAGTTGACACAGTTACTTTTTGCTGATGATACTGTGATTATGGGAGATTCTAAAGAAAAGTTGCAAAGGTTAGCGGACAAGTTTGGGAGGGTGTGTAAAGGTAGAAAGTTGAAAGTGAACATAGATAAGAGTAAGGTGATGAGGGTATCAAATGATTTAAAGAAAAATTGGATATCACATTAGAGAGAGGGAGTATGGAAGAAGTGAATGTTTTCAGATATTTGGGATTTGACATGTCAGCAGACGGGTTTATGAAGGATGAAGTTAACCATAGAACTAATGGAAAAAAGGTGAGTGGTGCATTGAGATATGTGTGGAAACAAAAAACGTTATCTATGGAGGCAAAGAAGCGAATGTATGGAAGTATAGTGGTACCAACTCTCTTATATGGGTGTGAAGCTTGGGTGGTAAATGCTGCAGCGAGGAGGCAGTTGGAGGCAGTGGAGATGTCCTAAGGGCAATGTGTAGTGTAAATATTATGCAGAAAATTTGGAGTTTGGAAATTTGGTGTGGAGTTAATAAAAGTGTTAGTCAGAGGGCTGAAGAGGAGTCATTGAGGTGGTTTGGTCATTTAGTGAGAATGAATCAAAGTAGAATGACACGGAGAGCGTATAAATCTGTAGAGAAAGGAAGGCAGGGTAGAGGTCCTCCTCGAAAAGGTTGGAGGAAGGGGGGTAAAGGTGGTTTTGTGTTTTAGGGGGCTTGGACTTCCAACAAGCGTGCGTCAAAGTGTTAGACAGGAGAGAATTGAGACGAATGGTTTTTGGGACCTAACGAGCTGTTGGAATGTGAGCAGGGTAATATTTAGTGAAGGGATTCAGGGAAACCGGTTATTTTTATATAGCCGGACTTGAGTACTGGAAATGAGAAGTACAATGCCTGTGCTTTAAAGGAGGGGTTTGGGATATTGGCAGTTTGGAGGGATATGTTACATCTCTCTATATATGCTTCTAAACTGTTGTATCTGGGTGCCTCTACAAAAACAGTGATTATGTATGCGAGGTGAAAGTGTTGAATGATGGTGAAAGTATTTTCTTTTCGAGGATTTTCTTTCTTTTTGGGTCACCATGCCTTGGTGGGAGACGGCCGACTTGTTGAGGAAAAAAAAAATTGCAGTAGTTTAAATAAAATAAGCTTTTCCCTATTATTTAAAGCAACAAAATTTTAACAGCCAAAAGGAAGCTACAAAAACCATAAACAACAACACAACACATTACATGACCTCATAACATGTATGCAAGAAAAAATCTCAAAAACTTCACTTGACGAATAGTGAACAGCATGCAAAGTTACTAATGACTCGACAAATTAGGTCCAAAAAACTGCCCCAAAGACAAAAAATTATTTAAATCATATTCACAGAGAAGCACCAAATCTAGAAGGGATCATACAGCATCTGATGAATGGGAGGTAATAAGGTATGACCCAAAGAAAAATACTTCCAATTTCTCGTATCAACAAACCTTCACCAGCATCAAGGTAACCTCCTCGAAGGAACCCAAAACAATATAGTTTACTGTATGATCTAAGGCCACAAATGTGTCAAATATTAAGTAATTCATTAACCCCTTGACTGTCGCACCCCCAAATCCTGAGGTGTCTCCTGGTGTTGCAAAATTTAAAAAAAAAAAAAAAAAAAAAAAAAAAAAAAAAAATCTTATGAAATGATAGAGAATCTTTTCCCAATTGTAATGACACCAAAAGAACAAAATTTAATGGAAAACTGACGGAATTACGCTCTCGCAAAGTTAGCGACCTCTGCGATATTTACGAATTGGCAATTTCACCTACTTTGAGCCCTATTTTCAGCTAATTCCATTGTTCCAGTTGACCAAACTCATAGCTATTTCTTTAGAACTCCATTTTTTCTATCGATTGAATACAAGAAACTGCCCATTTACCAATTTCAACTACCCAATAACATGGTCAGAAATTTGCAATTTGGCTAATTTCACAAAAATTTAAAATATGACAATTTCAAAATAGGGTCCAGAATGAACAAAACAGACATTCCTGGCTCTAAAATAACATTTTCTTTGTTCATCAGTCACATCTCCAGGCCCCTCTGATATTACTCTTGCTTTCTATTTTGAATTTTTATTCAAACAAAAAATAAAAATAAAAGATTTACTGTTCTGCAGACTACTGCAATATTGTAATAATTGTATAAATAATGTCAACCCATTCATGACTGCATATCAGAATGGCTACTTGAACATTTATTGGAAAATGACATCATTTGTTTACTTTTGAACATCGGCAAAAATCAAACATTTTCCCTATTTTGAGCTCCATTTCAAGGTTCTTTTCATAGTAAAACCAATCAAAATCATTCTATCAAATGAGACCAAGAAAATGAGAATACAGCCATAAATACTATACGAAAATAGACCACAAAGTCGGCATTTTAATTAAAAAAAAAGTCGGAGGAGTTTTTTTTTTCTCATTATGCACTGCGTGCTGCAAGATTTTTTTTATATGGTGCACACTGACCACACAGACCCATTCTCTCACATGTGGGCCTACCAGCTTTCTCCTGCTTGATTTGAAGCTGCTAGAATTTATGAGTATATATACATCAAAAATTGCTCTTAAGACGTATATATATGACCAAAACAGTCAAAGGGTTAAAGGCTTGAAGATACAGCACTCCTAATTCATATGAAAGCCATAATTAGTTATCAAAACTGCAATTAAGAAGGTAATTATAATTACAATTGTGTACATGTGTCCTTTTTTTTTATCACACTGGCTGTCTCCCACCAAGATAGGACAACCTATAAAAAAAAAAACCACTTTCACCATCATTCACTCCATCACTGTTTTACCAGAGCCACGCAGACACTATGGTTCAGACACCCCTCCAAACTGCAAATATCCCCACCCCTCCTTCAGAATGCAGGCACTGTACTTTCCACCTCCTGGACTCAAGTCCGGCTAACTGGTTTCCCCGAGTCCTTTCACAAAAATTACCCTCTCTTATCAGAAAATAAATCTCTCTCTACTCATTCTATAAAAATAACAACATCTACTAATTTATCTTGTCAATTTCTTTATAAACACTGTCTTACCTGTCATCTTTACTCTTCTTTTTTGGTGGAATTTGTGCTTTTTCTTTCTCCTTCTTGAAAAACTGTGGCACAATCTGGAAGTCTCGTACTACACGTTTTCTTCGAGAACGCTCACGAAGTCTTCGCATATACATATCCACCTATGAAATAAAACTCAAGGATGAAATCAAGAGCCTCCAATCTTTAATAAAATTATAAATTTAAAGAAAAAAATAAACCTTCAAGCAGTTTAACAATAAATACAGTATATAACGAAACAGCCTGTGCCTGCAATGGCAATAACATCAGATAATTCATTGAATCCTAGCATGTTGAGCTATGCCAGTACAACCAATTACTGTATAGTACATGCATACATCAATTTCTTACCACAAAGCATGATAAAAAAAAGTAATGTAAACTAAGACTAACTTCTAAAAAACTAAAAATACAAAAAACATAATTTTGTGTCATAACAAAATAGTTAAACATATTGTGTTGAAAAATAAGACTCAAATTCAAAAGCCAATAAGTTAAAAACCCACTATAACTCTAAAAAACACACTGCACTTTCATTCTCATTTAGAGATTTTTTTTAAGCACATTGACTGTCTTCCACCAAAGTAAAGTGATCCAAAAAAGAAGAAACAATTTAACCACCATTCACTCTATCACTGTCTTGCAGAGGCATGCCAATACTACAGTTCAGATGTCCCTCCAAACTGTGAATACCCCACCCCTGCTTCAGAATGCAGGCACTGTACTTCCCACCTCCAGGACTTAAGTCCAGCTAACCAGTTTTCCTGAATCACTTCATATTACCTTGCTCACACTTCAATAGCACATCAGATAAAAAAAAACACATCTCCACTCCTAATACACTCACACATGCCTATTGCATGTCCAAAGCCCCTAGAACTCAAAACCTCCTTTCTCCATACCCCTCCTTCCTTCCACTCCAGATTTGTGTGTCCTAGTCATCCTGGTTTTCTCCATCCAGACCACCTCATCCTTCCTCAGCCTCTGAATAATATGTTTGTTAATTCCATAGCTCCTCATCTCCAAACTCTGAATTCTCTGTGTAATATTCGCACCACTCGCTACCCTCAAACACTCTACTTCCTCCAAATTCCTCCCACTGCAAAATTCAAAACTGATGCTTTATAACCATACAACAGTTTTGGTACCACTACGTGTATATGTACTCTGGTACATTCCCCTTCTTGTTTCCATTGATAAAGTTCTTTGCAATTATCCTCTATTTACTACTGAAGTCTTTTCTTACTTGTCTTGCCACATCTTTGTAGTAACTCTTGAACAAAACATATTAGCACCTTGCAGTCACGTATAAGTGAGAACTTACCAAGGTCTATATTATAAAGGATGGAAACAAAGTATGTACTGAAAAATATTTAACAAACCTGTGCAAGTTTAAGGGCCATATCAATATCTTCATCATCAACTGGATGGATGAATAGAGGTGCTATTGTTGCTTCTGCATCATTGTCCCATTCCTATATGAAATAAAATATTATAAAGCAATATGTAAAGTAAAAGGACACAAGTGCAACTAATGTGACATTTGACACTTGTGTCCTTTTACTTTACATATTGTCGGTAATTCTACCAACTTTATTACATTATAAAACAAGAAAACAGAAGAGAAAAACACCAAGAAAACATAAGACAAACACAATGGCAGAAATTAATCTTCTCTATTTCTAAACCATTTTAGCATATACATATTTTGTTTTTAATAGAGCAAAGCCTAAAAGAGGAAAGAATGTCTTGAAATCTTACAAAAATGTTTGAGTTCAGTTTTTTGTTCTACAGATCAAATTAATTTTTAGTGTCAAGAAATAACAAAATAGCCTTAAAAGATGGCTGTTCCAATTGATACATATGTCTATTAGTACTTAGCAGTTGATAGAAAAATAAATACAGAAGCAGTATAATGTGATCCTTTATTGACAACGCTCTGCCCACACAGTGGGTTTTATCGAGTCACAAACATATACCTGGGTGAAAGGTATGTGAGTATTTATAGGATGGAGTCAGGTGGAGAATGCTGGGTCAGGTTGGATCTGAACCTGCATGTGACAGTCTTCCATGTAGGGTGATAGAAGCTAGGACCTTTGGTAGCTTTAAAGAGAGATTGGACAAATATACGAGTAGATCTTCTGCCAAGAAACTCTTTCATTGTTATCCCACATAAGAACACAAGAATGGAGGAAGACTGCAGAAGGTCTGCTCATATATTTGTCCAATCTCTTTTTAAAGCTACCCAAGGTCCTAGCCTCTATGACCCTACTCAAAAGATTGTCACACGCAGGTTCAGATCCAACCTACCCAGCATTCTCCACCTGACTCCATCCTATTAATACTCAAGTACCTTTCACCCAGGTAGATCTGTTTGTGACTTGATAAAGCCCACTGTGTGGGCAGAACATTGTCAATAAGTGATCACATTATACTGCTTCTGTGTTTATTTTTCCATTGTGTTAGTATTTTATACCATTTATTTCCATTAGCAGTTGGTACATGTTTTACAAAAAAAAAAAAAACTGAGTGAATGGCCGTTAGAAGTTGATCTTTATCCTCTTCACATTCTTTCATAATGTACAAGCTTTGAAAAAGTTTTGTTTAAAATCACTGTTACTGTATTATTCATTAATTTAAATTAGATATAGTGAGAAATTAGTTGTAAAACATCTGTTTCTAGTTTCTTTTCTACTGGAGGACAAAAGTAAACAGCCAAAATGCCTTTATTTCCCTATTCATATTTAAATTTAACTTTCCAGAACAAACTCTTCCAAATATAACTAGAAAAAGAGAAGAAAATTAAAAGTCTAATTTAATACTTAATAAATGACACTGCTCACAAGATGCTGTATATTACATTAATTATTTTGTACACAGCTTACAGTAAATGCTTCTAAAAAGTTACTATAACTTATACATAAACCATTCAACATTTGACTTATAATGTACAGGAAAATTACAAAAATTACAATGTCTGAATTATCCTATTAAACAGCATTAATGCATATGCTATAACTCTTAATCTGAAAACACAAACAAGAACAAACCCTCTCAAAATCATCTCTATGAGGCATGTATCCAAGGATGGTGTTCTCCTCGGAAGACAGAGGCTGTGAGGGTAGAGATGAACCCAGTGTAGGTGATAATGGCCCTGTGTCTGCAGATGTGTGTTCTATTGGCAACTGCAATCTCTCTAGGGCTGGTTTCCAGGAAGCTCTTCCAATGCTGCCATCTATGTAACTGCTGATATATTTATTTCTTGCATCTGTTAATTAACAATTACATGTACCATCATTATGAGAAAAATGTCAGCTAAATTTATAGAGTTCATTTTAACCCTTTGACTGTCGAGACCCCAAATCCTGAAGTGCCTCTCCTTGTCACAAAATATTCGAAAAAAAAAAATTCTTATGAAATGATAGACATCTTTTCCCAATGCTAATGACGCCAAAAGTACAAAATTTAATGGAAAACTTGCGGAATTATGCTCTTACGAAGTTAGTGATCTCGGTGATATATACGCATCGGCAATTTCGCCCACATTGAGCCCTATTTTCAGCCAATTCCATTGTTCCAGATGACCAAACTCATAGCTATTTCTTTAGAGCTCCATTTGTTCTATCGAATGAGTACAAGAAACCGCCCATTTATCAATTTCAACTACCCAATAAAGTAGTCAGAAACTGGCAATTTGACCAATTTCACACAAATTAAAAAAGATGCCAATTTCAAAATAGGGTCCAGAATAAACAATGCAGACATTCCTGGCACTAAAATTACATTTTCTCTGTTCATTAGTCACATCTCCAGGCCCCTCTTATATTAGTATTGCTTTCTATTTTGAATTTTTACTCACAAAAAAAATAGAAGATTTACTGTTATGCAGACTACTGCATTATTGTAATAATTGTATAAATAATGTCAACCCATTCGTGACTGCATATCAGAATGGCTAGTAGGACACTTATTGGAAGGTGATGTCATTTGTTTACTCTCGAACATCAGCAAAAATCAAACATTTCCGCTAATTTGAGCTCAATTTCAAGGTCTTTTTCATCATGAAACCATTCAAAATCCTCTCTATTTCTGTAAAATTCTTCCATTCTATCAAATTAGACCAAGAAAACGAGAATACAACCATTAATACTATTCAAAAATACACCTCAAAGTCAGCGTTTTATTCCAAAAAAAAAATGGTCGGAGTTTTTTTTTTTCTCATTATGCACTATGTGCTGCAGGATTTTTTTTATACTGCACACACTGATCACACAGACCCATTGTCTCACATGTGGGCAGACTCCCGCTTGATTTGAAGCCACTAGAATTTTGGTGTACTAATACGTCACCGACACTGGCTCGTAAGATGTATATATATGACACCGACAGTCAAAGGATTAATGACATATAATACAGTACACTATGAAAAATTCCTTCCTGTTCTCAAAACACATGAATACTGAATCAATATCAATTACAATAAAAATGTGAATTAACAAGAAAAAATGTGTGAGAATTAAATGTGGACAGAAAAAAAACGAAGTGGAGAATCAATAAGTTTCTTGCAAAGCACAGTAAAACCTCTCGGTAATGGACCTCTCATTAACAGATTTCACCAATTTTAGAATTAGGAGGAATATCAGTGGGGTGTATAAACTGAAGGTAGAAACAATGTGCTAAAAAATGTCTAACCAAGGCACGACTTTTAGCAATAAGTTCAAGTTGGAAAAATTTCAATTTAAGAACATAAGAACATACAGTAGGGTTATATGATTGAGGGGGATATGATAGAGGTGTATAAATGGAAAACAGGAATAAATAAAGGGGATGTAAATAGCGTGCTGAAAATATCCAGCCAAAACAGGACTCGCAGCAATGGCTTCAAGTTGGAAAAGTTCAGATTCAGGAAAGACACAGGAAAGCACTGGTTTGGTAACAGAGTTGTGGATGAGTGGAACAAACTAGGTTGGATAAGTACATGAGTGGGAAGGGTTGGATTTGAGTGGGACTTTCACATCAGAGCTTATTTCTTGGGTGCATTGAATTGGGTTGGGTAATGTTGTAGTGGGATGAATTGTAGAATGGACCTGCCTAGTATGGGCCTAGCAGGCTCCTGCAGTGTTCCATCCTTTCTTGTTCTTTGTCTTATTTATGTACGTATAGAAGCTAGACCTTGTGTAGTTTAAAAGGTTGTGTGGTCGTGGCGATGGGTGTGGAGGACCATGACGCTTGGGCTACGGTTGGGTGTCATGCCCTTCCTAAGTGAAGTGACCTGATTAGTGGTCATTTTCTAGGCGAGGGTGACATAGACCTGCTTCGCGTGGGTCAGTAGCCTCTGAGTTTCTTCTTCTTATGTTATTATCATTGAAGAATTACAGTAAGACAAGAGTAGGATTACAGACGAGGAATGAGGCTTTAGAGTAGGTAGGGGATGTGTAGGTCAAGTGTTAACATTGAAGCATGTATGTGAACAGTACAGATGAGCCGTGAACGATATTTTTCACTCAGAAGTATTTCAGGTGCAGTATGACCGAATTTGTTCCCATAGGAAATGTGAGTAGATTAGTCCATTTCAGACCCAAAATCAGTACAAGCACGTTACATAAATACTTACAAATTGGTCGCATTCGAGGTGATAGTTAGCAGGTGGGTCACTGTTTAGATAGAGGTAGGGAGTTTTCATTGCAGTTATGAATAGAAAAGGCATATGACAGAGTGGATAGGGGAACAATGTGGCAGATGTTGCAAGTATATGGAATAGTACAAGTTACTAAATGCTGTAAAGAGTTTTATGAGGATATGACTAGTTAGGGTGTGTAGAGAGAGGGAGATTACTCCAGAAGTAGGTCTTAGACAGGATGTGTAATGTCACATTGTGTTAAATAATATTACAGACGGGGTTGTAAAAGAAGTAATGCTAGGGTTTGTGAGAGGGGTGGGATATATTATGGGGAATCAAATACAAAATGGGAGTTGACAGTTGCTCTTTGCTGATGATACTGTGTTTATGGGAGATTCTAAAGAAAAGTTGCAAAGGTTAGTGGATGAGTTTGGAAGGGTGTTGAAAGTGAACATAGATAAGAGTAAGGTGATGAGGGTATCAAATGATTTAGATAAAATAAAATTGGATATCACATTGGAGAGGAGTACAGAAGAAGTGAATGTTTTCAGACATTTGGGGGTTGATTGTCAGCAGATGGGTTAATGAAGGATGAGGTTAACCATGGAACTGATGAAGGAAAAAAGGTGAGTGGTGCATGGAGGTATCTGTGGAGACAAAAAAATGTTATCCATGGAGGCAAAGAGGGGAATGTATGAAAGTATAGTGGTACCAACACTCTTATATGGGTGTGAAGCTTAGGTTGCAAATGCTGCAGTGAGGAGGTGGCTGGAGGCAGTGGAGATGTCCTGTCAATGGGCAATGTGTGGTGAAAATATTGTGCAGAGAATTTGGAGTGTGGAAATTAGGAAGTGGTGTGGAGTTACTAAAAGTATTAGTCAAAGGGCTGAAGAGGAGTTGTTGAGGTGGTTTGGTCATTTAGAGACAGTGGATCAAAGTAGAATGACATGGAGAGCATATAAATCTGTAGGGGGAGGATGGCAGGGTAGGGGTCATCCTTGAAAAGATTTGAGGGAGGGGGTAAAGGAGGTTTTGTGGGCGAGGGGCCTGGACTTCCTGCAAGCATGTGTGAGCATGTTAGATAGGAGTAAATGAAGATGAATGGTTTTTTGGGACCTGACGAGCTGTTGGAGTGTGAGCAGGGTAATATTTAGTGAAGGGATTCAGGGAAACCAGTTATTTTTATATAGCTGGTCTTGAGTACTGAAAATGGGAAGTACAATGCCTGCACTTTACAGGAGGTGTTTGGGATACTGGCAGTTTGGAGGGGTATGTTATATATGCTTCTAAACTGTTGTATCTGGGAGCCTCTGAAAAGACAGTGATTATGTGTGAGTGAGGTGAGAGTGTTGAATGATGATGAAAGTATTTTCTTTTTTGGGGATTTTCTTTCTTTTTGAGTCACCCTGCCTCGGTGGGAGACGGCCAACTTGTTGAAAAAAAAAAAGAAGAAAGGAGGAACACTGCAAAAGGCCTGTTGGCCCATACTTGGCAGGTCCTTTACAAAACCAACCCACTAACAAAACATTTGCCCAACCCACTTTCAGTGCAACCCTAACAATAAGCTTTGACAATTCTATTTACTCACATGCAAGTCCCACTAAGATCCAACCCCTCTCATTCATGTATTTATCCAACTTAAACTTGAAACTACCCTAGGTTTTAGCTTCAATAACCCTACTAGGTAGACTGTTCCACTCATCAACTACCCTATTTCCAAACCAATACTTCATATATCCTTTCTAAATCTAAACTCATCTAATTTGAATCCATTACTGTGGGTTCTCTCACTTGGAGGGAGATCTTTAAGACTTCATTTACATCCCCTTTATTAATACCTATCTTCCACTCATACACTTCGATCGTGTCTCCCCTCATTCTTTGTCTTACTAGTGAATGTAACTTAAGGGACTTCAATCTTTATTCATACGAAAGATTTCTTTTGCTATGTACAGTGGACCCTCTGTTTTCGTTAGCCTCTGATTTTGTGACTTTTGGTCATTGCCAACTTCTTTTGTTAAATTATAGTCTCTATTTTTGTTAATTCCCTCTGGTTTCATCAGTCATATGGAACATGTCCGAGTGCCGCGCACACACAAAGCCTCCCACACACACATTCTGAGTCAGTGTGGCGTTTCTCGGCGAGGTCATACGCAACATTTCGTAATAATCCATTGTTTTTTGTGCTTGTTTATTGTGTGTGACTGCTAAATAAGCCACCATGGTCCTAAAGAAAGCTCCTGGTGCCATCCCTTTGGTAAAGAAGGTGAGAAACACGATAGAATTCAAGAAAGAACACACGATAGAATTCAAGAAAGAACTCGTAGCAAAGTACCAAAGTGGAGGAGGAAGAGAGAAGGGAGAATGTGCCTTCTTCAGTGATTCTACGATATGTACAATACTAAAGCAGCAGGAGTCAATAAAGGCTATAGCACCAGCCAGTGATAAAGTGTAGCATTAACAGTGTAGCAAGTCAAGCAATTAAGTGAAAAGTACGACACATGGAAAAGATATGCCGCACTGTGTATCTTCCACCACCCTAAACCAATGCCAGCATCTTCTCCGAATGTAAATATTTCCTATTTATAAATTAGAGTGTAAATATTTCTTATTTATAAATTACATACATTGTTTCAGTATGACTAATG